AAGGATGCCCAATCCGCCGATTCCACCCTATCAGCTCTCAAGAAGGATACAGAACATGGAGTAAATTAAGAATTTCAAGTCTCCACCGATGGGTTGTTTAGATTTTGGGATAAGGTGTGTGTCTTATGTGACAGTGAGCTGAAAAGAGACATCATGATAAATGCTCATAACTCAAAATTTGTCATGTATTACGGAAGCACTACGATGTATCAAAATATGAGATCTCGATTTTGGTAGAACGGGATGAATAGAGAGGTGATCGACTTTGTTTCCAAGTTTTAGTATGTTAGTAAGTCAGGTAGAGTATCACGCCCAGCGGGCTATATAGCCATTATTAATTCCGGAGTAGAAGTGGAAACACATCATAATGGATTTCATGATAAGATTTTCTAGGGCACACTTGGGACATGATACCATTTAGGTCAAGATGATCGAGTACTAAGTCTTCCCACTTATTGACCATCAAGATGACCGACCCATTGGACAAGATAGTAATAATGTATATATGGAAGGTAGTCAGGTTATATGGAGTGCTAGTGATAGTAGTGTCTGACAGGGACCCCAAGTTCACTTATCTGTTCTGGTTTAGTTTTCAACAAGTCATGGGAACGAAACTAGCCCTTAGTACCGCATTCCACCCTCAAATTGATGGACAATTAGAAATGACAATCTGCACACTGTAGGATATGCTTCGAGTTTGTGTTCTTGACTTCGGGGGCCATTAGGATGATCATTTATCCTTAATAGAGTTCGCCTACAATAATAACTACCAAACAAGTATCAGCATGGCTCCGTACGAGACGTTATATGGTCGCCCATACAGATCACTGATCTGTTGGGAAGAGGTGGGTAATAAAAAATTATTCGGTCCAGATCTTGTGGAGGAGACTACAGCCAAAATAGTTAACATCAGGAAGAACATCCAGACGGCTCAGAGCAGGCAGAAGAGTATGCAGATACTCGAAGGAGGGATTTAGAATTTGAGAAAGGTGATCTGGTATTCTTTAAGGTCACTCATTTCAAGGAAATCAGTAGGTTTGGCAAGAGAAAAAAATTAAATCACCGATTTATTACACAATTTGAAATCTTAGACAGAATTGGTATCGTCGCCTACAGACTCGCACTACCTTCAGAATTATCTAGGGTCCATAATATGTTTCATGTGTCCATGCTACGTAAGTACAACCCGACTCTTACATTTTGGCGCACGAGCCCCTTCACTTTAGGAGGATCTGTCCTATGAGGAGGTACCGGTGGGTATTGTGGATTGAAAGAGTAGAGTACTCCGCAACCGAAAAATTTCCTTCATTAAGGTCCTATGACAGAATCACACACAGAGAGAGGCTACATGTGAGCTAAAATCATATTTTAGACCCTAGTATCCCCAATTGTTTGATTAAGTGTGAGAGAGAAAAATTTGAGAGACCAAATTTTTTTTAAGGAGGGAGAGAGTTATAATACCTGGACCCGAGATTTAGTTTGGGATTAATTTAAAAAAAATAAAAATAAAAATAAAAATATAAAAGTATAATTTTTAAATTTATAAATTTTTATTTAATGTAAAATTATGAAAAAAAATAGGTGGATGATGAAATTGAAAATAATTTTGAAAAAAATGGGAGAAAATTTAAGTTCGGGGAGTATTTTTGAAAGAAAAATAAAAAATTATAGGTAAAAATGCAATTAAAAAAATTGCGCAACGTAGGACCGCGCAGTCAGCAGTCCCGACGAACAGGAGCATGTCGCGTGGCAAAGCACGCTGACTCGGTGCCACACGGGAGGCCACACTGGTAATCTGTGTGCCCGCGATTGGATAGCTCGGATGCGTTCCCGTGTGCATGAACGATCCAGATCCATTTCTTCCTCAGGCACGATAAGACGGTCGCGATTAAACACGATGAATGGTTCAAATTCGTTCTCTCTTTAAACGCGGTCGTATGGTCCAGATAAAATCACAATGAACGATCCATATTCATTCTCTTTTTAAATACGATTGGATGATCGAGATCAAATGCGATGAACGATCAAGATTTAAGGGAGATATGTATAAATATCTCACTTTACATTGAACCCTAACTCTAGCCACCAGCCACTTGCCGGAGAGAAGAATCTGTTACCAGATAAGGGAGTCGACCGCCGCCCGCCGCTGCGCTGGAGTCACCTCTGACTGCAGAAAAAAAATAAAAATTCTCCTATTCACTTGAAATTTGATTTTGAACACCCTCATGGCCAAATTGGAGCAAAAGAAACAATGGATGAGCCGAAAACTGTGGGTAAAGCTCGGGGGCATTACCACAGGAAAAATAAAAAATTGCATCTAATGAGCCCCTTCCCGTTTCCCGTTTCGTTTTTCACAATTGTGTTCATAATTCTATTTTCTACATGTTGACCAAAGAAAAATGCCCAGCTGCGAAGGTGAGCCGGTGGAGCCACCGCACCAGAAAATTCCGCTGCTAGTAAGTTTTTATATTTCAATTTTTTTCGGCCAACCGAGTCCCTCTAACGTATTTTCTTACATGAATTGGTATAAAACCGGTCAAAACCAGCCAAAACTGGCCGAAAATGGCTAGTCCGAGGCAAACCACCATTTCGGGAGGCGGTGTTGCCGTGCCAAAATTTTGAAATTGGCTAAAAAATATTTTTAACACTAATTTGGATTTTTGGGGGTATTTCTAGGTACGTGAAACATGTTTTAATCTACACAGAAAAATTTAGAAAATTCGGGAACTACCAGTAGGTGCAGTAAAAAGTTCAGTGTTTCGGACACCGATTTGAGTAAAAATTCCTTACCTTATTCTCTGTAATGGAATTAAAGTTTAATTATCAATAATACGGTATTTTGCGTAATTTAAAAAATTTCGAGAATTAATCACAAGTTACTAATGGAGATAGAACTAGTTATTTATTATTGTTTGTACTGTTTTAACTAATTATTTGATTTTACAGTTTTAAATACATTATAATACACTGGAAATGGATAAGATGATTCAGTTGTATTTTTCTTGATGCATGTATTGCTTGTCTTACCTGATTTATACTTAAATTGTAAAACTGAAAATTAAATGTAAACGAAAAATTGATTGGTTAAGTGAATGAATAAATGATAGCTTTACTGGATATCTTGGGAGATAGTGGACGGACCGGATACATAGGGAACTCTACTATGAACGTCGTCTCATACTGGATGTAGTATCGAGAATTGATATTTTTGGTGCTCATATCGGACGGTGTATAGGGACGACGCATTTCACCCTCATACCAGACGGGGTATTGAGGGATGATATTTTTAGTGCTCATATTGGACGGGGTATGGGGATAGTCCATTTCACTCTCATACCGGACGATGTATTGAGAGATGGTATTTTTGGCGTTCATATCGAACGGGGTATGAGGACAGCCAGTTAGTTGACAAGTTTTGATATGTGTTTACGCGTAGTGGGACCTATATGGACCCCAATGGATACCAGTAGGCAAATAAAAAGAGAAAGTTATTATTCTAGCTAATTGAATATGAGATTATGATGTTGTTTGTGTTATTGTCTCTATAGGTCAGTTTTGAAAATCTCACTACAGTAAGTATGCAATAAATGATTTTATTTATGATAAACGAATTTATTTAATTTAAGGACTCCATTAGTTATTTTTATGATTTTTACCAACCTTCATTTCTGTATGAGTGAGTAGTATGATATTTTTACTGAGTTAGTATAACTTACTATTTCATTAATCATTTCAGATCAAGAAGAGTAAGATCCAGATCCCGATCAACAAGGGGGTTGTGAATAGTTCACCACCCGGATTCCTTTCAAATGCTAGTGAATGTCGTTCTATGATATCTAATTATTTATTTTTATTTATTTCTTAATTTTTTGCTTGTTGTTTTAGAATGGTTATTCCTGTAACTTTATTGGGTATTCTAAATTATTATATAAAGAATGTAAACTGTAACTCTATTATTTCGCTTCTGCATTCAATTTATAATTTATTTCATTTTAAGTTCCGGGTTGTTACATATATATTTGTTAGAAAAAAAAAAAACATAAGCAAAAAGGTGGATGAAATATGCAATTGTATTGAGTGTTAATTATTTTAATAGAATAATTATTTCTTAATAGCGAGAAAAAAATCCAAAAAAAACTTAACATATATATAGGAGAAAATTATATAGAAAAAACCAAAATGTCACACTTTCATACATTAATGGAAAATTTTGGAAGAATGCAAAATTACATAATGTAACTTAACATAATCCAAGTAAATTGTGATTTTAGTCAATAATATGGCTAAAAGTCTTGTGTTCCCTATTCCTCTTTATTGTGTGGCTGACCAACGCCAAAAATTCCAAATTTTCAATAATTTATCTCTAACACTCAAATCAATAATTTAAATAATCTAGACCCACATGTGTGTCATAAGTGATACTTTAACTTTTCTGTTTCGGAAATTCGTTATAAAATTTGATAAATTATTTTTTATAGCAGAATGTTGGCTTTTAAATCGTGGGTTGTGCATCAGTATTTCTTTTTTTTTAAAAAAAAATATATATTATTATTATTAATATTCACGTATTTTTTTATAATTAATTAAAATATATAAATATTTTTGTTCTGTGTCACGTTTTACAAGTAAATAGTTACTGTTTCAACTACTTATATATATATAAAACAAACGTACACTTGCTTTGTTGTGAAAATAATTAAATCTATATTTTTTCTTTTTAGTTTGGTGGTAAAATATTTTCAATTGAATTTGAAAAATATTTAATTTAAATTAATTTTCAATCCAATTAAAGAAAAATCACTGGCACCAAAAATGTAAAAAGTCACATAAAAATCTGATGGTTATGTTCAAAATGGTTAACTAGTACCGTTTGAAAAAGAATCAGAATCAACCCATGTGTGAGTAGTGATATTATATATATACACACGTGTCACAATTCCTTTTGAGAAGGTACGTGCCGGCCATTATTGTATCTAGATACATATATAGGAATAGATGGGTAACGTGTTTAAAGCGTGCAGTACCTTCTCCGCATGTCAGTAAGTGGAAGCAGGGGAAGAGAAGAAAGAGATGGAGATATGGAAGTTGAGAGGTTTAATCCACTTTTTCATCACTGTCTTCTTGTCAAGCTTCGCTTTCTGCGTCGTCGCTCCGGCCATTACCGATGTCACCATGTCTGCACTTTGTCCTGGACGAGACCAATGCTCTCTTGCCATTTATCTCTCTGGATTCCAACAAGCTGTACGTATACACACCCACATGCATACGTAACATAAATTTCTAATCAAATTTCTTCCATTGGAAAATTTCCAAAGCTTAATGAAATCTATGCAGTTTTTACAGATTCATAATGATATGACCAAAACCCAGAAGGCAAAAACGTTGGAATATATAACAATTGAGTTAATAAATATCTATTGATGTAGATAATGGGACTGGGGTCATTGGTGATGATGCCGGTACTAGGGAACCTGTCTGATAAATATGGAAGAAAAGCTTTGCTCACAATTCCTGTGACTTTACCCATAATTCCCCTAGGTACCATTCACTAACTTCATTTCCTTGTTGATTTTCTTCTCACTTTTAGTTCTATATTTACTCCCGTTCATACAAAATGAAAGTAATTTGTCGGTGCATTTTGTTGAATGTACAGCAATATTGGCATATAGCAGAGACACCCCATATTTCTATGCTTACTTTGTGCTCAAGACTCTCACTGGTTTGGTTTCTGAAGGCGGCATTATCAGTCTCGGACATGCTTATATGGTATTTATCAACTTATATTTACTTCTGTAGGACCTTAATTATAATGATCTATTGAGATAATACTAGTTATTGTGATGGTACAGGCAGATAATATAGGAGAGCAACGAAGGGCACCCGCGTTTGGAATTCTATCAGGTGTACTTTCAGCAGCCTTACTCAGTGGAACATTAACTGCTCGTTTCCTCTCCACTGCCAAAACATTTCAGGTTCTTCTAAATTAAATCACTGCAAATCTGGCTCTGCCCACTTGATTTTTTTTTTTTTTTTTTTAAAAAAATTTATTGGGTAGTTCTTAATTTGATGATTTGATTTGATTGACGGTAAATAAACTGGGTCAGGTTGCAACAATTGCATCAATTATTGGAGCAGGGTACATGAGAATTTTTCTCAAGGAAAGCGTAGCGGATACTGCCGACGACGTCGAACGGCCAATTCTGAAAGCTGACGAAGATTCACCAATCACAAAATTGCCAAAACTTCATAGTATTCCATCAGTGGGAGGTGTTCTTCGCTTGTTCCAGAGCAGGTTGGATTTTTTTTTTTTTTTTTTTTTTTTCTAATTAATCTAATTAATCTCTGCAAATTAAATCAAAATCTGTTTGGTATTGTAAATGTTCTGCAGCACCACATTTGCGCAAGCAGCAGTGGTTGCATTTTTCTGCAGTCTTGATTTCGGTGGCTTACAAGCTTCATTACTGGTACTTGCTTTCACAAAAACTATTCATAAATTCCCTAAACAATTTGAAGGTAAATTCAATCTGTTTTTGTAAATTAAGTACAGATTCATCAGACCTAACGCAATTTGTTTGAAGCATGCAGTACTTTTTAAAGGCCCGTTTTCACTACAGTCAAACACAGTATGCTGATCTAATGCTAATTCTTGCCGTTTCAATGATCATTTCCCAGGTATTACTTTAGGGGAGACTTCCCATCTTCCTTGATTTTCGCTTAATCATTTCTTTTTTCCTTCCATTATGTTTCTTGATTCTTCAAGCAACTAACCTTATAATTGTAATGTTTGTTTCCCAATCAGATGTTTGATGTTACATATGATTTGTTGTATGTAATTGTGCAGCTGCTTCTGTTGCCGGCAATGGCTTCTATCATTAGAGAGGAAAGGTTGCTTTCAATTGGGCTCCTCATGGGTTTCGTACATGTAGGTCCAATTATTAATTGCTAGCCATGAACATGACCATTCAATTATACCACTCTATCTACTCACACATATCATGATTAATCTCATAATTGATGTATGTGCAGGTTTTTGTTTACAGCATATCATGGTCGGCTTGGGTAATTTCTTTTGACAAATTACTTCTTCCTCTCTGTTTTTTTCCTATGGAATTTTCTCGTTATTAAAGGAATCTGCAAATTTAGATTGAAGAATGCTTAAGCATTAAATAAGAAAGTTGTTTTGTCCATGTAGGTTCCATATGCCTCTGCTACTTTTGGTATTTTCAGTGCTTTCACGTTTCCATGTGTAAGTCTCTTATTTTAACTTCTATATATACACACACACACACACACACACGTGTACACGCCCCTAATTAGATCTATTTATTTTCTTACATAAATTATATGTTACCCAATTCGCAGCTTCGCAGCATTGTATCCAAACAAGTTTTGCCTAATGCCCAGGTAAATAAATATTCAGACTACTTCCCAGCTTCTACCCTCTTCTTTTTCTTCATGTTTGATCTATTTTATGTTATAAAATTTAAAAGCATATAACTCGTTCATTACATATTTCAGCAACTGAGATCTTGGTAGTGTTAAGATATAAAATAAATAATAATTAATTGATTCATTCTCTATTAAAAATTTTTAGGTTCTTTAGAAAATTGATCACATTTTTATATTATTTAATGACTGCATTTCATCAGTAAAAAGATTGGTTAAACTTATCAGGGAATGGCTCAAGGATGCATCTCCGGTGTAGAATCATTCGGCCAAATCATTTCTCCCTTAATTTTCAGCCCTCTGACAGGTAAAATGAACACAATATGCAAGTGGAAAGCATGTCTTTTGTATGCATTATGTCATGTGTCTATACATAAATTAACCATTTTCTCATCTGCTTTAATCCATCGGCTTGCAGCCTGGTTCCTTTCTGAAGATGCGCCGTTTGATTACCCTGGTTTCAGTCTTCTCTGCGTAGGATTCACAATGGTATGAACATACATACATATATATATATATATATTAATTTGATACTTAAACAAATTGTAATTACTCATAATCCTTCATTTTATAAAATGTTGTGCAGATGATTGCCTTCATTGTAAGTACTATGATAAGGCCACCTCCTCCTGCTTCAACTTAATAACGAAACCACCAATTGCAGTCACCCATGGTTCCCAATCCCTCCAAAAGTCTGGTTAGAGAATTAAGGCGACTATACAGGCTCTTTATCATATTTATATATGAGCATATACGTACATGTACACATTCACGAATAGACTCTTCAGTTAATGGGAACATGTTACGAGAATTGTGTCTAAAGCTTGCATCAATATCGTAGTTCAAATCAGGGAGCTAATTATTACTTCTTTAAACTTCTCTTGTATATATAGAATTGATTGTAACAATATTTATTGTCTTTCTTTAACTTCAAATTAATGAGGTGGGTAGAATTATTACCAAGTCTGCAATGTTCATGGAAACTGGCATGCTGTTGGAAGAGAATGCTGAAATATTATTTTTTAGTATAATAGAAAAAAAAGTGCTGGTCAAATTAGACTAGTATATTTAATCACTTAAGCAGGGTTAACTTAATACTCTTATTTCACTGTGTAGTTTATTTTTTGTTTACGTCTATATACTAATTGATGGTAAAAATACTTTTTTCTCTTCTGTTGTAAAGATTTCGACATATTCAATACAGATTTTCTCTCTCTGTGATTCCGTCAGAACAATTTACAGGAAATTTCTTGATTTCTTTCTTTAATTTCAAGAAAGCAAATGCTTTTATCTATTAGTCGATGGCAAATTTTCCTTTGTCATCTTCAGTATCTCAAATTGGGCATTCAGAAATCACTACTTCGTTTGGCCATAATTCAGGATTGGTTTTAGTATCACAATAACTCAGTGGAGATAATTATCTTCTCAATTAAGAATAAGGTAGGGTTCATCCGTACTATTCCAAATCCGAGCTCTTTATCTTCTCAGTGCGCGAATGAGGAATAGCAATACCGTTCTTTCCTATATTCTTAATTTGATTTCCAAGGAAGTTTCAACCAACATAACATTTTCAAACTTACCGCATGAAATTTGGAATGATATGAGGTACCGTTTTCAATGGAGCAACGAGTTGAGGATCTTTCAGTTAGGCTGGCAGCTCATTACACTTCGCTAGAATTAGAACTCGGTAAATGCCTATTCTGTAAAGCTCAAGATTTTTTGGGATGAATTGGATAATTTTGAACTAACATGTTCTTGTTGTAAATGTACCTGTGATGGCATGAATGAGTTGAATTCTTATTTTCAAATGGAATACGTGATGTTCTTCCTCATGGGACTGGATGATTCTTTTAATTAAATTTAGGCACAATTGATGCTACTATATCCTTTTCCTTCTATGAATAAAGTCTTTTCCCTAGTTTCTCAATAAGAGAGACAGAGAGAAATAAATAATAAGCAATGGACTCAATCATGAATATGAGTTTTTTTAGTAAAGTCAGATAGTTCTAAGAGGATGAATATTGATTATGGCAACAAGTTACAGAGGAAAGACAGGCCTTTTTGTGCTCACTATAAAACATTCGCTCATACTATTACTAAATGTTACAAGTTGCATGGCTACATACTACAGTACAAACAGAAGCAGAGAAATCAAATCAAGTTTCTATTCATCCTCAAACTGATGCAATTGATAAACAAGACACTAGTGTTGATAGTTTTATGCAGAATCTTAGTCCTTCTCAGAACCAAAATTTGATAACAATTCTATCTAGCTATCTTATGTCCTCAGCATAGTCTTCGAAGCTGACAGATATTGCCAAGGCTTTCAATGCAGGTACATGCTTATCTGCTACCAAAATATTACATAATTTTTTATTGAATACTTGAGTAGTAGATTCTGGTACATGAAAGCACATATGCTATGATGCTAATACCTTTTCTTTTCTGAAACCTGTTTCAAATTCTTATTTTACTTTGCCAAACAGTACCTGAATACATATGTTAGCATATGTGGAGATGTTTGCCTTGGTGTTTCGTTGATCTTGAAAGATGTACTGTTTGTACCACAATTTAAGTTCAACTTATTCTATGTGGCAACTCTTACTAAAGATTCTTCCATTGAGTTATTTTTATCCTAATTATTTCAAAATTCAGAATTGCAATTGCAGAAGATGATCGGCAAGGGTGACAAAATTCAGGATCCTTATCTTCTAAACTTAGATCAAGTAAAGAACTATAACATTGGTTTGGATTTATTCTCATGTCTCTTTCCAGCATTGGCACAATAGGTTGGGTCATCCATCTCGAAGGAGTCTAGACTGTTTTGGGAAGTCAGTTGAAAATCTCATATTCTTAGTGTAGTGTAATAAAAATCTGTTACATTTGTCTATTAGCAAAACAAAAGAGGCTTTCTTTTGTATCTCACAATATTTTTCTTATTTTCTCTTTGATTTAGTTCCTTGTGATGTTTGGGGACCATTTTGTGAGTCCACACACAACAGTTATCAATATTTTTCTACTATTGTAGATAATCATACAATGTTTACATGGATTTTTCTCATAGGGAATTAATCAGATGTTCTGATATGTTTTTCCTTCATTTTTTCGTTTGATCCATAATCAATTTGGAGTTGAATATTAAATGTTTGAGATCAGATGACGCTAAAGAATAAGCTTTTGATTGAAGACTCAAGGAGTTATCCATCAATTGTCTTACATTTAGACACCTCAACATAATGTTGTTATGGAATGAGAACATCAATAGTTGTTAAATGTTGCGCGTTCCTTATATTTTTAGTCTAGAGTTCCACTTAGTTTATGTGGAAAATGTGTCTCCACAATTGTTTACTTAATTAATTAAATTCCTTCAATGCTTTTTAATCATAAATCTCCTTCTGAAGAAGAGTGTGGACTATGGAAGACATCAAGTATTTGGATGCTTAACATTTGCATCTATATGATACAACATCATACCTAACTTGATCCAGTATTTTTTCTTGGATATCCTCCAGATATGAAAGGCTACAAACTATATGATCTAGCTACTAAAATTTTCTTTTATGTGAAGGAATGTTGTATTTCATGAACAAGGGTTCCTATTTCATAAAATGCAACCTACACATATTGGATCAGATTTATTTCCAGACTTTGTACTGCCTATGCCTGTAGATGATCTGTCTCTATTTAAAGATATTGTTGCTTCTAATTTTACTACTCTCAATAAAGCTCATTTAAGCACCAGGCACTCAATTTCTTGATTCTTCTAACAACTCCAAACCAGATTGTATGTAGGTCTTCTAGAGTGAGTAGGCCACCCTCTTAGTGAAGGGATTTTCATTGTAATTATGCTCACTCTAAGGCTTATATACTTTATCCTTTGATTGCACATATTTCACATGCTGCTTTATCTTTCTTACATAAATTTCTTGTTCTTGCAGTTCCCTCCAACTTTGAACCCCAATTTTATCAATTGTAGCTCTTGCTCATTGGAGAGCTGTCATGCAAGAGGAATTACATGCTATAGAAAGTAATCATACTTGGTTTGTTGTTCGCTTAACCCTGGTAAACACTCTATTGGCTATCGGTGGATGTATAAAATTTAGTACATATCATATGGTTCAATGCATTACAAGGCTTGTTTAGTGGCCAAAGGACACACTCAACAGAAAGGGACTCATTTCTTATAAACTTTCTTATTGGTTGCAAAAGTGGTCACTGTTAAGTTGTTGCTAGCACTTGTTGTTCTCAAAATTGGCATTTACCTCTATTGGACACGGATAATGCCTTCTTTAATGGAGATTTATTTGAGGAAGTGTATATAGAATTGCTTATCTAAATTTTCACTCATTTTTTTCAAAATTATTTTCAATCAAATCTTCTTTATATTTTATTTCATTTTTGTTTTTTAAATGAAATTAAATAAAACAAAATACAATAATACAAAATAAAATAATAAAAATTTATATTTATTAATCCCACAAAAAAAAAAAAAAAAAGAAATTGTGGGTGTCAGAATTAATATTAACCATGCTATACATGAAAACAAAAGGTAACACGGTATCTTTTCCTTTTGGTAAGGTTGGGGTTTCTTTCTTTTTTGACCTTTTACTTTATAGTTCCATTGTCATCGATGGTAGTAGGATATTTTAAATACCCCTTCATAGAAAACAAAAAAAAAGTGCGAGTCATGCGTGATGATATCCAAACTTTGAAAATGGCTCAAAATATTGTAATTAATTAATTACAAAATAAAAGATGTCACTTGACATGTGAATATTGTTCAAAACATGAATGGTACGGGTTTAGCATTACTTTAACAAGAGATCGGCAGGCAGGCAAGTGAACGTGGAAAACTCGTACTACATCGTGTAAAAATCCCACCAAATGGAGACGTGGAATGAAATCAACATTTTGTTGTGTTGGGTTTCTACTGCAAAAAAAAAAAAAAAAAAAGAATATGCTATTTTTAATTCTCTATAAATATTTCCATTAAATGGTAAAAAGCTAATTAATTAGGTGATCTCCTCTAAAAAAAAAAAAAAAAAAAAAAAAAAGTTTAATTATTCAACTCTGGAGTTGGTAAACTACGGCAATGTTTGGCTCAGCTTTCTATTTTTTAAAAAAAGTATTTTTAATAAACAATCAAAATCAAAATTTATGTTTAATAAATTTAAAACCAAAAATCTAAATCTCAAAAATCATTTTAATTAAATATATAACTTTTATTTTTTTGCAAGTGACGACATATTTTATAATTATTTATATTAAATACTAAATAATTTTTTTAGTTAAATTTATAATATAAAATATATTATCTAATAAATGTATGTTTTTTATTTTATTAAATCATATAATTTTTATTAATACGTATGCTTATGCTACATTGGCCTGGAATCATCACTAATTACCCAAACTAGGTATTACGTACGGGGCCACTTAATTCAACTAATTTGCTTGTTTTCTTGGTTTTAGGTGGACTGAAAACCTCATTAACAGAAAATGACATCCTCATATTATTTCAAGATTTGGTAACTACGGCTGAAAAACGTTTCTCCATCAAGATAAAAAGGTTATGACATGCTTTTTTACCTTTGTTAGTAAGAGATTTTTTTTTTTTACTTAATTATAAAAAATAGTTTAATTAATTTATACACTTTTTTTAAATAATATAATATTATTTAGTGAAATTTCATATTTACCATTGCTAATTTATGATGAATTAGAAAATTAATTATCACTTATTAGACATACGAATTGACCCATCAACTGATCATTTTCTATTAGATTCTGAATTATTGTGTTCGTGTATGAACAGAATTTAGAGTTCTACACAACACACACACACATATATATATATATGTATATGTATGTAGAATTTAGAGTTGGATATGAAGATTAATCGACCCCCCCCATAAAGTATGAAGTCCAAATAGTGAATACCAACACGAAGTAAAAGATGATTGACGTGTCTCGTTCTAAAATCTGGTAACACACGTATATACACACTTTGGAGTGTTTATAGTTTTCCTCGATACCACTACTCCAACGCACTTATAAATAAACGTTTATGTCCACTTGCAACATATATATGTATATCGAGAGAGAGAGAGAGAGAGAGAGTATGGTATTATAGCTTCATTATAAGAGATTCTGTATACAGATATATATACATACACATACAGAGAGAGAGAGAGGGGGGGAAGCAGAGAGAGATGGAGATGATGAGGTTGAGAAGGTCAGGGCACCTGTTTGTAACAGTATTTATGTGCGGATGTGGAAGTTTCATGGTGGTTCCAGCCATGGTTGATGTGACCATGAGTGCAGTCTGCCCAGGTCAAGATGAATGCTCTCTTGCTATTTACCTCTCTGCCTTCCAACAAGCCGTAAATTTTCTTCACCTTCTCTTTTTTACTCTTTACCTCTCTCACTCTCTCTGTTTTGTGGAAGAGCTCGGTTAAACCCTACCAGTCACACTAAAAATGGGTTAAAAATTTTTAATCATCTACACTAGTTGGTTTAGTTAATTAAAAAATGTATGTTTAAAAAATAATTAAGGTTCAGGTTTGTTTATTGGTCATTATTAATAATTTCCAAATAAAATTTTAAAAAATATTAAATTCATATAAAAATATGGTAGTTTTTTTAGTTGCACGATTAATACTTCCACTCGTATATACAAAATTTAGAGCCGTATAGTGTTGATGGATACCCAGTCACCATCTAAATACCTACAATTTAAAAAAAAAAAAAAAAATTTATAACAGTACTCATCTAATATATATGGAGTACTCACACATTACAATATATATAAATATATATATATATATAGATATAGAATATATGTATGTATATTACACAGACGTATCCATCATACTAATTATTTGTGTTTTATATAAAAATAATTTATAAATTAATATTGATATTTCTAAGATTTGTTAACTTTTAAAAAAACATTTTAGATTTTTCTACTAGTAATTGTTGGATTGTTAATATTAGAATTTTTATGTATAATTTTAAATTACTTGAATGAATATATATATATATATATATTTAAATAGTAATTAATGATATAAAATTAAATCATTTTTTTTATTAAATATTAATCACATATAATATAACTATTAATAAATATAAACTTAAGTAACTATGATCTCATGTAATGAGTGAAAGTCACATAAATAAAAAGATAATTAATTCGATTATTATTTTAATTATTATTAAGTGTCATATGCGTATATATTTATGGTTGGAAAAAGTAAATATGTGATTTTATACAAACACTTGAGAATATTAAATAAATTTAAAAATAATAATATAAATATAATAAAGACATATTTTTGTATATTTTGTTTAAATTATGCCACACTAAATTAAAATCTGTTTAACAAAATTATTAATTATTCTAAATATAAAACTACTAATAATAATAATATTATTATTATTACCATTGTTGTACTTTTACTTTAAAATATTAAATTAATGAAATACAAATTTAATATCTATACTCATTGAAAATATTAGATTTTCATTACATAATATAATTTTAGAATTTTTTGTTATAAAAATCATAAAAATATTATTTTTTCATAAATTTAAAATTTATTCTATTAAATAAATTTAAAATTTTTTTAAAAAAAAAAATTATTTGTAAATCTATAATCAATTCAAATAAACACACATTAATATCTTTTTAAAATGTAAAATTTCATATATAATTAAAATAATGTGGATTTGAAATAATAAATAGGATTTATAATTCATTCTTTCAATTCCAAATTAAGACTGGGTTAATTTTAATTAAGTACCAAGTTAAGATTAGCTTAGTTAATTAGTTTAACATTTTAACCATCTAGAATTAGGTTAATAAATACAACAAATGTATTGTGATCAAATACGCTCTGAATTTGCTTTTTGGCTAATTAATGTTGCAGATAATTGGGTTGGGGACGATGGTAATGATGCCATTAATTGGGAATCTCTCTGATGAATATGGAAGAAAGACTTTGCTCACAATACCCATGGCTTTATCCATTATCCCTCTCGGTAATTTCTCCAAAAGAAAAAAAAAAAAAAAAAAAAAAAAAAAAAAAAAAAAGAGAACTTTGCTGACAATGAGGATCTTAATAATTTAATTTGTATTCCATATTGATTTGCAGCTATATTAGGTTACAGCAGAAAGAGAAACTACTTCTTTGCATACTATGTGGTCAAGACTCTCACTGCAATGGTCTGTGAAGGAAGCATTCACTGCTTGGCTCTTGCTTATCTGGTAATTCACCTTTCATCGTTCTTCCTTTTACATATTGAGACTGAATTTTTGTATAACTTCAATCTTAATAGAAAGATGATAATGCATGATGTTGGGTGCAGGCAGACAAGATTTCAGACAGACAAAGGACATTGGCATTTGGTGTTCTGTCTGGTGTAGGTTCTGGTTCCTTCGTCTTCGGAACCTTGGCAGCTCGTTTCCTTTCCAGTGACTTAACATTTAAGGTCATGATTATTGTTTAATATTTTCTATTATTGATTACTAAATGATTGATGCTTCTTTCTCTTTATAAGTCATTGTGGGTTCAAGTCGGAGTATGTATTTATTTATTTATGTTTTTGTTACAAAATTATATTATGATTCGCGTATATTTGTTATCTAATTAATAAAAAATTTGATATTGGACTTCAGGTTGCAGCTCTTTTGTCCATGGTTGCAGCAGTGTACATGAGAATCTTCCTGGAGGAAAGTTTACCTGATCATGATTTACTAGAACCAATACTAAAACAAAGACAAGATGTTACTGAAACTCAAACTCATAAAGTTAACAAGTTTCCATCAGTTCCAGAAGTTTCCCATTTGCTAAAAACTAGGTAACATCATCTTCCTCTTCTTTACTTTGTTCATGTTAAAATAAATAAAAAAGATTAATGTAATTTTTTTTTTTACTAGAAATTCTAATGTTGATTTGACTGAGATTGTTGCAGCAAAACATTTTCACAGGCTTTAATTGTTGCCTTCTTCAACAGTCTGGCAGATGGGGGCATGCAAGCTTCATTACTGGTACTTTCGATTTCTTCAGTATACTCAGAAATCTAATTTACTCCCAAATTTAATCAACTCTTTTATTTTTTAAATTCTAAATTTTTTTCAAACTCCTTGACAGTACTTCTTGAAGGCTCGTTTCCATTTCACCAAGAACCAGTTTGCTGATTTACTGCTCATTTCTGGTGTTGCAGCCACCATTTCACAGGTTTAATTGTTTTTTCAGTTGTTTTCTATGGAAGTAAAGTTTTTCAATTAGCTTAAAATGTTTATTCCTGATAGATGATATAGTATAAATGTTACAGCTGTTTTTCATGCCCATCTTAGCACCAGTAATAGGAGAAAAATGGCTGCTTTCAATTGGACTCTTGATTAGCTCCATAAATGTGAGCATCTAACTCTCCTTTGTACGTTCTTTATGTTTTTACTGGTTTATATTTTCCAATTTCATGGAGCTCAAGTTTCTTCTACCTCATATTTTATGACGCAGATCTTTCTTTACAGCATATCATGGTCATTTTGGGTAATTTCTCACCCAATTTTTTCCCCACATTTAATTTTATGTACACACACTTTGTTATATGAACCTTCTTCAAGCTCATGTCTCTGCGCAGGTTCCGTATGCCATTACCACATCAGTTGTTTTTGTTGTTTTTACAGGCCCTACTGTGAGTTATTTATCATCCATTACCGCACTGAAGATAAATATTGTCTATTAAATTGCTTTATAGCATGTGATGGAATTTTTTCCGGTTTGCAGCTACGCAGCATTGCATCAAGACAAGTTGGCCCTGCTGAGCAGGTAAGGCTTCATGAAATTTTCTTTCTTCTTCTTCTTTTTTCAGCTGATAAATTAGTGATGTAATCACGAATTGAAAGCTGATTAAATTTTTTTTTTCTGATGAATTAAAGTTTATCTGATCAGGGAAAGGTGCAAGGATGCATCTCGGGAATAAGTTCCTTAGCCAACATTATTTCTCCATTGATCTTTAGTCATCTCACAGGTTGATCAGATAACTAACTTCCTTCTTTTATGTATATATATATATATCTTTAATGTATATCATGTGGGTTAATTTCATTTTCTTTCTCCCAATCCCCCAGCTCTGTTCTTGTCTGAACGACCACCATTTAATTTCCCCGGCTTCAGCATTATGTGCATTGGATTTGCATCGGTATATGTTCATATACACATACAACTACATATATTTCACATATTGTCTATTTTTGTAGTTGTTAACATACATCGAAACTGTAAGAAACCTAATGAATGTTTATGCAGATGGTTGCTTTCATTCAGAGTATTATGATCAGGGCTGATGCTCCTGTTTCAAGCCACAAAACTACAAATAGCAGCATGGAAGCGTAGTCATAATGATGGATTCTCTGTCATAGTTGGACTCTGTTTGAATGGATAAGAAATGAGAATGAAGGAAATGCCATTAATTTTATTATTATAAACAAAACAAAAATTAAGTCTTTTTTTATTATTTTATTTCATTTCATTTCATCTTAATCCCTAACCTAATATTCAATTGTGCCTGCCCACATTACTGCATGAAGGAACTCATCATGGCTGCTAGCGGTTTGATCAAATGGAAATTCAAGTGGGTACTGGAAATCTAGACTTAGTTTAATTAGGGAGAAAATGAACTTCCTTTAAAACTATAACCACTATCATAAATAACAATAATAAACAAGAAGCAATTAGAAATGAAATAGAATTATAAAATTGTAAAAAGCCCCATCCAATACTGTTTACATTCAAAACCGAAGTTATTTACATTTTCTATCACTCTATGCGCCAAAAGGTTTAAAAAGTATTTACTCAAGAAAATAGATCCTCATGACTGACAGCATCTCCATCATCCGAAGAAGCATCATGATCACTGTTGGCATGAAATGTCAATATAAGATCTAGAAGATCCCGACCTGCAGCTGAGTTCTCATCATTATCCTCTTGACTAGTCCTCCCTCTGTGCACCGAGAATAAGCGCAGCATCAATTCCTGGGGTGAGGATATACGGTACATCCAGCCCCGAGACT